CCTTCTAAACCCCAGCACTGAGAGGAGGTACAAGGGACAGGGAGGCAGGACCCCTCTTTACCTTTGCAGGCACCAGCAGCTCCCAGGTGGTAGATGGCAGCCAAGAGGCGCCAGGCGGCCGCCTGCTCCTCCGCCGTGATGCCCAGCGTGCCCATGGCAGCCCGGAGCTGGGCAAAGGCTGCTGAGGCTTTCTGCTTCTCCTCGGGCTGCAGGAGGAAAGAGATGGGAGGGGAAATGTCACTGCTTCATCCTGGGCTCTGGGGGAAAGGGGATACAGGGATACAGACAGGGGAATGCAAAAGAGCATGCAAAAATCGTGGGGCAAGCAAGGAGAAGACAATAAGGGGCCCAAGAGACAGGTTGGACAGCCATGGGAGAAGTCCCTGGCAAGTTTGTCCAGAGCCTGGCATTAGGAGCAAGCCTGGGCACATCTTCTCATCATACAACAATACATAACTCCCACTTCAGGAGTGTCCACAGAGATACTAAGCCTCAGCTGGAGACAGACACCTTAGATCTCCTCACTAAGACCCACAGGCCCACAGGGTTGCTGCAGCCAGCTGACCAGCTTCCACCCCCAGCAGGACCCACCTGCCCACCTCCATCCACAGCAGCCACCACCATGAATCCTGCAGTTTGTTGGGGTTTTTTTTCAGATGCAGACTTGGCACAGAATTAGGGTTTTGTTGGTTTTTCCCCCCCTGAGCTGAGGCTGCTCTGTGCAGCCCCAGGGCAGGACACAGCACGTGGGCTCCACTGGGCCCTGGCCCAGCAGTGACCAGTCTGCTTGGCCTGGAAGGTTCCAGCTTCCACAGAGGCCCACGGGGTGGCTACTAATGTGGAAACCCAGACGACACAGGCAATTTCTCCAGACTCAAACAAATACCCCAAATACTTGTGACAGGGTGTCCCAGCAGGGTCACCCACCCCTGCCAGCTGCAGGGACAAGGGCTGGAAGCCACCAGTTAGATTTTTGGTCTCAGCATCCAGAGCAGTGCTCAGGAAGGAAAATGTGACAAACTTCCCCAGACTCCAGCCCAAACACAGCACACCACTGCTCTGGCTTTTCCTAATAATGAGCTGGTGCTGGAAATCATAGGCAGTTCTTTTAGCACCCAAAAATTGCTTTATGGTTTCTTCAAAGGGTACAGTTGCCCTTCTGGAGCTGCTGCTGCAGGGAAACATCAGGGGTTGTTGACCCCAGAGCAGCAGGATCTGTCCCTGGGCAGCTCCCACTGGGCTGTCAGAAGTTGCTGCTGCCTGTTTGGGCAGACCTGTCCTCACACCTTGACATTCACTTTGTCCTGCCATGTTCCCAGCATGGCAGCACGATCCCAAGTCCCCCAGCAGCCGAGGATCCCAACATGTCCTCTAACCAGGGGTGGCAAAGGGCACACGCTGCAACATCCCCCAGCACCAGCACTTCTCCCTACCTTGGAGAATGGCTTGATCCCAAAGGAGTTGCTCTCAGTCACCTGGTGCAAATGCAGCATTGTCCTGGAAGCAGGTACAGACAATGAGACCCCAACCCCATCCTGCCCCAGCCCTCCCCACACCCCCAGCTCACTCCTCAGGGAGCATCTCTGACACCCACAGACCCCATTGCCTTTATAGTGACGTTCAAGGGGACTCCTTGAGAAAGGTTCCCACGGCTCTGCCCCTCACAGGGGAACAGAGGGGGCCCCACATGCACCAGGAGTCTTTGCCTGGGGCAGCCCAAGGATGGGCAGCTTGTGGGGAAGGCCAGAAGTGAGCAAGGAAAGGGATCTCTGTCTCATTTGATCAACCCAATTTAAGTTTCAGTGAAGAGGCAAAAAGAGAATCAGAAAACACCCATTTCCTTGAGAACCTCTAACACAAAGTGCACAAAAACCCCTGCAGCATCACTGATGTGATCACCCTCACAGTTTCTTATAAGAGGGGTCTCAACAAATACACTGCAGGAGCAAACTGGGGTATAAATAAGAGGGGAGCCTGCGGGGGCTGGGGAACCCCCCCTGGTGAGCAAGGAGCAGAGCTGCACACCCACCTCTCTGCCGTGTCCAGCCCCGCCAGCATCAGGGGGAAGACGTTGAAGTTGCTCTCCCCGGGGGGCTGCTGGGCAACGTTTCTTATAAGAGGGGTCTCAACAAATACACTGCAGGAGCAAACTGGGGTATAAATAAGAGGGGAGCCTGCGGGGGCTGGGGAACCCCCCCTGGTGAGCAAGGAGCAGAGCTGCACACCCACCTCTCTGCCGTGTCCAGCCCCGCCAGCATCAGGGGGAAGACGTTGAAGTTGCTCTCCCCGGGGGGCTGCTGGGCAACACGGGCCCTCTCCAGCAGCATGGTCTGGGATGGGGGGAATGGAGGCAGGCATGAAAGGCAGCCTCCAGCCAACAGT